TCCCAACTTATGTTTAGCAGAGCAAGGAGAAAGTCTTATTTGTATTATTTTGGCTAGAATAAAAGCAGTTTGATTTTTTTTTAAAGGTTGTTTAAAGGTCAAAAGTATTACCCCCTTTCAGCTATATAATTTTTCTATTGTCTACAGAGCAAACCACTGTTATACAATAACTTGCCTAATTACCCTAACCTGCCTAGTTAACCTAATTAACCTAGTTAAGCCTTTAAATGTCACTTTAAGCTGTATAGAAGTGTCTTGAAAAATATCTAGTAAAATATTATTTGTTGTCATCATGGCAAAGATAAAATAAATCAGTTATTAAAAATGAGTTATTAAAACTAATATGTTTAGAAATGTGTTGAAAAAATTGTAGAAAAAACAGTGTAGGCTCAGTAATTTTACTTTTATAGTGATGAATACGTTATTTTCATTGCATTTAGAGGGAAATAACTGAACATAAACATAAGAGGCTGAGAAAAAGTAACTCATTTTGAGCAAACATTTCAGATGGCTTTTAGAGGTTTTTGCATCTGAATTCTTCATATATTTTACAGCATTTTTCCCTGACATTTAAGCACCCATTCCATTTTCTTAACAAAACAATCATCATTAATCATTAATTAATAAATTAATTAGCCACAGCCATATCACCCTGTCGCCCAAGACCACTGAAGCTAAGCAGGGCTGAGCATGGTCAGTACCTGAATGGGAGACCACATGGGAAAACTTGGTTACTGTTGGAAATGGTGTTAGTGAGGCCAGCAGGGGGCGCTCAACCTGTGGTCTGTGAGTTCTAATGCCTCATTATAGTGAAGGGGACACTATACTGTCAGTAAGCTTCGTCTTTCGGATGAGATGTTAAACCATGTTCCCGACTCACTGTGGTCATTAAAAATCCCATGGCACTTCTTGTAAAGAGTAGTACTGAATTGAATGAATTGTAAAGTCCCGAAACAGATAGGCGTAACGGATCGGGGTGTCTCAGATAAAAGGGAAGGCCGGGGGTTGTGTCGTGGACGAAAGTAAAGAGAGATAAAATGAGGTGCCGGATCAGATTTCAGACGTGCTAGATCCTGATGTGGCTTGTTCTGGCACAAATTAAGCCCTGGGCATAACCCCATCGTCCTGGCCAAATTTCCCCCATCTGTCCTTACCTATCATGGCCTCTCTATCATCCCCATCCACCGAATTGGCTCTATCACTGTCTCTACTCCACCTATAGCTGGTGTGGTGAGCGCACTGGAGCCATTGTCCTCTGGCTGCCGTTGCATCATCCCAAGTGGATGCTGCACACTGATGGTGGCGTGAAGAGACCCCCACCCTCATGATTGTGAAGTCCATACATATAAATGCACACGTTACATTAATTAATAGCAGTACAACAGATATTACCAGTGTTTCATTTTTTCTTATGTACTAATTATTTACCGTAGGTGCAAATGTGATCAATTTTTCCATCATTATACCATCACAATTTTTACTTTATTTAATAATACATTTAATTAGAGAATTATTTGTTGCTCTAAAATCTAAATATACTTTATTATTATTATATAGCATTTTTCCATAACATTTATGCCCCCAAATTGTCTTAATGTGAACTCCTATTTTAATATTTAATTTGTTTCAGTACATCAGATATCACTAAATACACACACAAAAAAAAAGATTTCTGCAAAATTGTTGCAGCTTATTTAGGCTGAATTTAAACAAATTCAATTTACTAATGTTCAACTTTGTTTGTTTAAATTCAGCCCAAATAAATAGTTTTTAACCATTTAACTTAAAAAAAAATGTAAATCCAAGAAATAATCTTTGAATCATTTTTTTTCAGTGTAGTTTTTTTTTTTCATTTTGTGGGTGATCAATTTTCATGAAAATAAAGTTATCCTCATTATTTTTACACATACCCCCCACAGTTTTGTGCTGACGCATGAGCTATAAATATTCTAGACATGTTTTCTGATGTTCACCTCACGTCGGCTGACAGAAGGATGGTGTACGTGTGCAGTGGAAGTGTGTTTACGTTGTTTATCTTGCGATATTCTCATCAGAAATCAGTGTTACTAAACCTCTGCTTATTTTTTGAGGGACTAATGTCGGAAATGCTTCTTTATAATTATTACTCTATTTAACTGTTTTAGTTTTCAGACTGAGTGTCTTTTATAACCAAGTATATGTTAAAAGTGTTGGACAAAGTGTACTAACCTCATTTGTGCTTGTGCCATATTGTAATTTTATATATTGGAACGATCCTATTCACCATGTGCTTTTCACTTCATTTTTCTGCAGAATTTAGCATTTATTATAGATGTTGAATACTTTCTGAACCCTGAGATTTGTTTGCTTTGTTTTGTTTCTTATTTTATTCACAGCAAATCCTCCTTGGTTCATTTGTTGTGGTTTAAACAAAATTTTTTGCCTTTTTTTGTTCCTGATTCATATTTGTAATTTAATAGTTTGAAGCTAAATATTTTCATTTTTCCCCCCAGACTAAATGACTGTAATTTCAGAAACATCTTGAGAAAGGTAAACCCAACACACTTTTAACACTCAGTAGAGTTTTTCTGAGTAGCATTTAACATGTTGCCTTAGCCTTGGTTTATTCTCTCAGAATTTACTACATTACAATCCTCATTACACTGCAAAACAGAAGAGCTCTTTGTACGAATAATACATTGATAGTAGTTCTTTGGCATGATTAAGGCAGTTTTTGTGTGTATTTATAACTTGTGGCATTCTTAAACTAATGAGGTGCAAATAAAGATCTATATTTATTACACAGATACGTGAAGCCATTCTAATCATTTACATTGTTCTTCAGATGCACTGCCTCCATTTCACCGTGTGATGGCGCTGTTGCTCTATAACACGCTATTTATTTTGTTGTTATTCTTTGCTTTTTTTATTTTTTTTTATTGTTTTCATTGGAAGTTTTTTTTTTGCATTATTATAGTTTTGTATATATTTGACAATTTTTTGTCAATCATATTTTAATGTGTTTATACACTCACCGGCCACTTTATTAGGTACACCTGTCCAACTGCTCCTTAATGCTAGTTTCTAATTCGCCAATCACATGGCAGCAACTCAATGCATTTAAGTATATAGACATGGTCAAGACGATCTGCTGCAGTACAAACCGAGCATCAGAATGGGGAAGAAAGGGGATTTAAGTGACTTTAAATGTGGCATGGTTGTTGGTGCTAGACTGGCTGCTCTGAGTATTTCAGAAACTGCTGATCTACTGGGATTTTCATGCACAACCATCTCTAGGGTTTACAGAGAATGGTCAGAAAAAGAGGAAATATGCAGTGAGCAGCAGTTCTGTGGGTGCAAATGCCTTGTTGATGCCAGAGGTCAGAGGAGAATGGCCAGGCTGGTTCCAGCTGATAGAAAGGCAACAGTAACTCAAATGAGCACTCGCTACAACCATGGTCTGCAGAAGAGCATCTCTGAACACACAACACAGACAACTTTGAGGCAGATGGGCTACAGCAGCAGAAGACCGAGTGCCACTCCTGTCAGCTAAGAACAGGAAACTGAGGCTACAATTCACACAGACTCACCAAAACTGCACAATAGAAGATTGGAGAAACGTTGCCTGGTCTGTTGAGTCTCTATTTCTGCTGCCACATTCAGATAATTAGGTCAGAATTTGGCAACAACACCATGAAAGCATGGATCCATCCTGCTTGTATCAACAGTTCAGGCTGGTGGTGGTGTAATGGTGTGGGGGATATTTTCTTGGCATTGTTGCTGACCATGTCCATCCCTTTATGACCCCAGTGGACCTTCTGATGGCTACTTCCAGCCGGATAACGCGCCATGTCATAAAGCGTGAATCATCTCAGACTGGTTTCTTGAACATGACAGTGAGTTTACTGTACTCAAATGGCCTCCACAGTCACCAGAGCTCAATCCAATAGAGCAGCTTTGGGATGTGGTGGAACGGGAGATTCACATCATGGATGTGCAGTCGACAAATCTGCAGCAACTGTGTGATGCTATCATGTCAATATGGAGCAAAATCTCTGAGCAATATTTCCAGTACCTTATTAAATCAATGCCGTAAAGGATTAAGGCTGAGGGCAAAAGTGGGTCCATCTTAGTACTAAAGTGGTCGGTGAGTGTATATTTGCTATTAAATAGCTAGTATATGATTTTTTATTTTAGCTTCTAACCTGCATTTTGATCGAGGTATTTAATGGGGATTATAGTTTTATTCTTATAATATTGTATTATTTAGTACAGTGCCCAGTGTAAATTAGGACACTCCTTGCAGATTTTTATTTTAAATGAATGTTTCCTTCATGCTGTAATATTTAAGCATAGACATTCAATTAGTCAGTACCAAAGCCAAAACGGAACTACTAATCCAACAAAATAACTTAAGATCACTGTGCAAAAATGTGTACACCCCAATTAATGTTATATTAAGATGTAAGAAAGTGTTTTTAATTACATTTTAATAAAGAGGAAGAATCAAGAGTACCATAAAAACAAAATAGGCAAGGCAAGTTTATTTATATAGCACATTTCATACACAGTGGCAATTCAAAGTGCTTTACATGAACAAGAATAAAAAGGAAAGTATAAGAAAATAAAAACAAACAATCAAATGATTAAAAACAGATTCAAATGTATTAAAACGGGTTATAAAAGAAATGTAAAAATAGTAATTTTGTAGTTTGTAATTGCAGTGTATTTGAATTTACGTGTTGTACATTTCAACAGATGTTCGGTGATCAGACTTTTATTTTAATTAATTAACAGTTTAATGATTTTTTTTTTTGTTTAAATGCGACAAAATTTATTCACTGAAAAATATATAAAAAATTAATTCTTAAAGCTGAATATTTATTACAGTATTTTTGTAATTCGAGAATTTTATTTTTATCTAATTATTGAAAATATTCCATTATATAAAATATAGTTTGTTTTGATTTATTTATTTATTATTTATTTATTAATTTATTTTTTGCCTTACACGAGATTAAAAACACGTTTCTTTTTCCGTGTCTATGTAGATAAACGTGTGTGTCTGTTTGTCCACTCGTACGACGCACGCGTGCCTGACCGACCGGTACCGAAGCGCAAGGAGGGGCGTGTTCGATATTTGTGTGTGTAAAACCAGCGCATGCGCTTGACGAGACCCTGGACGCGCACGGGGAACGTCAGACCGCAGCGGCTGCAGATTTTTCCCTTCAGCCGTGGGGGAGAGAGAGAGAGAAAGAGGCGGCAGGAGGAGGAGAGGACAGCAGGGAGAGATGGGAGTGCTGTAATCCCGGGGGGAGGAGGGATGGACGGACGGACCGACTCAATGCACAGAAGCGCGGAGATTCACACTTGACACCAAAACACCGCCATCGTCACAATAATCGGAAGCGATGTCTGAGCGCGCGTGAATCACGGGCGCGCGTCAATCTGAAGTGATGAGACAGAAGCGCGCGGCTGGATCCGTCTGTCAGCTTGTATAATGGAGAGCTCCAATGGCTCCGACACCAAACCGCAGAGCCATCATCCTCAGGTGGAGAAGAAGAGGTTAAACCGCGCGCCGTCCCCTGCCAGACCCGTCCTCAAGGATGTCCACTCGCGGACGGCCAAACCGATCGTGCCAAAATCGCCCAAATTCAACAAGCAGCAAGCGCCGGTGACGCCTCAGAGCCGCGTCCCGAGACGCACCGTCCCGGGCGCGAAGGACAAAACCGCATCAGCACCTGCAAAAAGCAACACCAAGCCCGCCTCAGCGACAAAAAAGCCCGTTAAGGTCACTCAGCATGCAGCATCCGAACCCAAACCGGCCGGTAAGGCTGCGGAGTCCGCCGCTCCGCAGATCACCAAGAGCAAGGGGAGACCTGCCCCCATACGCGTGCCCACCGGACGCGGCGTCTGTCAGACCGACAGCAGCTCGGATTTGTCTGACTGTCCTTCCGAGCCGCTGTCCGACGAGCAGAGGCTGGTCCAGGCCGCCAGCAGCGACGCGGAGTCGGGCAGCGGCTCGGGTTCGAGTGAGCAGGCGGCTGCAGGATCACGGACTGCACCTGCTCCTGCTCCCGTTGCGCGCGCGGACAAACGCAAAGATAATAAAGACGCACAGTTTAAACCCGACGGCAAGGAGATGGAGACGGAGATGGCCCAGGACGAGCTGCTAAGGGAGATCGAAGACCTGCGATCGGAAAATGACTACCTCAAGGTGAGCACACAATCATATACATGAAGTTACTTATTTTATTATCAATACATCAGTGATTCTGCAATGCATGAGTATTTTCAGCAAGATTATTTATTGAATTTATTAAACATTTTTTTAAGGTAAGTGGTTGCAAACTGTTTATATGGGGTAAATTTAAACAAACAAATGAAGGTGAACGTTGGTAAATTAAATTTACTAGCCTAAATTAGATTCATAGAAACTGTTTGCAACCAATACCTTATATGTAATAAATCCACTGAATCATATTATTAAGTGGACTACTACAATACTAGTACATGAAGTGACTACTGTATTATCAGCTTATGCATCAGTGGTTCTGCAATGCATTAGTACTTTCACCTAATGTGTCGCTAAACAAAAGCACTGTGGGGATGGAGGAACTTCCATGAAATTATATAGTGAGTGATTAAAAAATACCTTTTAATGCATGTCATAAAATAACAATTTGCTAAAAGTTATTCCACCAGCTTTCTTAAAGGGATAGTTCACCAAAAAATGAAAATTCTCACTCTGTTTACTCAGTCTCAAGTGGTTCCAGAACGTAATGAGTTTCTTTATTTTTCTTTATCTAACACAAAACAAGATAATTTGAAGAAAGCTGAAAACCTGTAACCATTGACTTCCAGTGAAGAGTCTTCACAAACACCTAAATAAATCCAGAGAAACTTTTAATTTTCCAGTGGTCTCTTCATGTTTTCCCAAATATCCCAAGTAAAATGGCATGTTATTGTTTGATTTACCATAAAAGACAATAACACTTATAGTCTTTTGTTTAGTGTTTTTTCTCTTATTATTGTCTGGTGGCCTTTAAATGGATTATCTGCTGAGCTGCTGCTGTAAATCCATGTGACGCTTTGTTTTCGCACGTGATCAACACAATATTTAATGTTTTTAATGAACCCTTCTCATTTATATCATTTGTTCATAAAATATCCATTAATAAACATATTGGTCATAAAAAATCATAAATTTGCATTTTTCTGTATTTAGTAATTCAAGTTTTTATTTTTCCTCATTTATTTCTGCATTTGAATTGCATTATGAGACATTCATCTTTCTCACAACAACTTTAAACCTTTAAAAAAGTTAGAAAAAGAGACTTTTGAGAACATTTTTAATAATAAAAAAATATAATAATAATAAACTTTATTTGTATAGCCCTTTTCCAACATACATGCAACTCAAAGTGCCTCACAAACAACAGCAAAAGCATTAAAATAGACCACAAAAACTTATCACATATGCTGAAATAAAAGCATTCATGTACACAAAATATAAGTATATATCATGATCACACACAATAGTCCTTACATATGCAAGCACACACCATACATTACATACATAAACCTACAACAAAATAGATAAAAATGCGTACACCTAACAAACTTGTTTAATCATACGCAATTTTAAAAAGATGTGTCTTAACACGCTTTTTAAAAACATGAATACTTGGGGATTCTTTCACTTCAAGGGGGAGACAGTTCCAAATTGTTGGAGCATAATGGCTAAAAGAAGTGCCGCCAGATCGCATCAGGTTTACAGGATAAAATTCTAAAAGTCCAGCGCTAGAAGAGCGTAGCAAACGGTTTGGATTATATTTTGTTAAACAGTGGGAAATGTAGGAAGGTGTCATGTTGTGTAGTGCTTTATAAACTAATAAAAGAATCTTAAAATCTATCCTTTGGTGCACAGGCAACCAGTGTAATTCTATTAATACTGGTGTAATGTGCTCTCGTTTCTTTAATTTCATTAAAACTCTGGCTGCTGCATTTTGTGTCAATTGCAACTTCATTGTAGAACCCTTAGGTAGACCAGTATAGATAGCATTGCAATAATCAAGCCGAGAGAAAATAAAAGCATGAATTAATTTCTTGGCATCATCAAAATATAGGAAAGAACGAATTTTGGCAACATTTCTTAAATGATAAAAACATGTTTTTGTAACTTGATTAATATGAGATTTAAAATTAAGATCACAATCGAAAACAACACCCAGGTTCTTAAAAGAACACAGTTCTGCTTCAATCCTCTCTCGCTCAGGTTTTATGCCCACAATAAGAATTTCTGTTTTATCTTTATTCAACTTCAAAATATTTGCAGTCATCCATTGTACTATATTAGACATGCAGTTGGACAAATTTTCCAATGCAGCAGTGTCTCTTGGCTCAACAGAAATATATAATTGTATGTAGTTTAAAGTGCTTTATTATCTGGGTTTATGTTGTATAATATGCTACAAAAACCTTGTAGTAAACTGCCAGTGCATTTTCTGTTGTTTCATTGACTTATTTATATTATTGGGTTTGAACATGTGATCTTCCACATAGGTGTCAGTTGCTCTAGCAAGGAGGCTAAAGACCATGGTCTCTAGCATCTGTCGCTAGAGCACCTTTAGAGGTCAGAGGAGTGAGGTTTACCTGGCAGTACTTACTAGCTGGCCTCCGTTACACTCACCCCCCTAAACCTCACTCCCATCCGGGTCACAGCACCAATGCAACCCCGCCAGTCCTAAAACCACCCAACCTGCTCCGAGCTGAGATCAAACCGGCAACCTTCCACATAGGAGTCGGTAGCTCTACCAACGAGGCTAAAAACCATGGCCTCTAGCGTCTGTCACTAGAGCACCTTTAGAGGTCAGGGGCCTCATGTATACGTATATATTGTGTACGTCTGGTTTACACTCACGTTTGTATTTACTAACGATGAAATGAACGTGAGAATGTGCGTCGGTCCACGCCAGCTTCATGCCTGCCGTACGTGTATTTCATTTGTGTGTTTGTTTTATTTCCACAGGCAACTCCTAGAGGCAAATATGTTAAATTGCACACTACAAAGTATCTTTGAGCCGTGCAATGGCAGCTGTATGGCACGGGATCATCTGCATCTCTAGCGAGCATATAAGGTTTCCAAACCATGCAGTTGACCAGCCAAACATTAAAGCACAAATTGCAGGGATCGCCAGTTTTCCCAATGTAATCGGAGCGATCGACTGCACGCACATTGCTATAAAGGCGGCATCTGAAGAAGAATTTGCATGCATGAATCAGAAACATATCCATTCAATAAATGTGCAAATAATATGTGATGCTCAAATGCGCTTAATATAATACACACACTTATTAATGATTCCTACTTGTCTTCCTCGTGATAAAGAGTAGGCAAAATCTGATATGTAGTGGGGGAAAAAAAGGAGCTCATCAGACGCTGGATTCAAACTGGGTTCATGATCAACCATGTCAAAACATGTTGTCCTGCGCTTTACTAACTACGCCACTCACGCAGCTGTTAGACGCTCTCTTTAGTTATGTTGTCTCTGTCAATCAAACGGTGATGGGCGGGAATCACTAAACTAGCTCATTCCAACGAGGTGTTTAGGCACCCAGCCTAAATAGACACTGCAAAATTTCACACCTTTACATCGGACCATTTCTTTTTTTATTCACTCACAGTGCGATGTTCAGACCCCACTGCGTTAACGGCGTCAGCTAAACTCTTCCACTCTATTTTTAAATTTTGTTATTTATTCCGGAGGACAAACTTGCAAATAGCACAGTTTTTCTCCGGTCTACCTCCGATTGGAGCACCTCCAATTCACATTCTGTGAAGTTTCTCTTCTTGCTTGCTTTTGCCATTGCTTTTTCGTTTGGTTTTGCCAAAGTGGAGTCATCACCATATTTATTAGGGGGAGGGGGCAGGGAGGGGTTTAATTCACTTAGCTGGCCTCTGTTATGCTGCGTTCACACCAGACGCGGAACGCGCGTCAAGCGCGAGTGATTTACATGTTAAGTCAATGCAAACGCGCGAATAGACATCCTGCGGCGCGATACACGCAAATGGCGCGGAGCGAATGAAGAGAATTCCGCGGCGCGAATTGAGAGTTTTAGGCGCGAATCACTCAAGTTCGAAAATCTGAACTTCAGCGGACATTCGCGCCTCTTTAACCAATCAGGAGCTTGCTCTTGTTGTGGCGTGATTGTGACGTATCGCCTGTTGTCGGTGTCCCAGGGGAAATCCCCCAGCAGACACCGACAAGAAGTTCATCAAACTGGGCTGGGCTCAGTCAGAAGCACCGCTGAAAACCTCTATCAGCCAGGTTCAGTTTCTGGAGGAGTCTTAAAGAGCTGGATGCACCTCTGAAAGGATGTAGTGGACTAACGGCTCTAAACGTATCGACGCTGTTTATCATCCTTCATAAAGCACATAAACACTGTTATTTTCTTCATAAAATCCATGTTAGCCCTTTAGCTATGAAGCTAGAGTCACGGGGCAGACAGAAGCCCTGCCCATCACGCGAATCCGCGTCTGTTCTGAAGTGAATTTTACACGCGAATGAAGCGGGGTTTGACGGGCGAATGAAGCGAGTAACCTTAAATGTTCACACTGTAATTTACGCGCGAATAGCGTGATTTATCCGCATGTTCCGCGTCTGGTGTTAACACAGCATTACACTCACTCCCCTAAACCTCACTCCCATCCGGGACACAGCACCAGTGTAACCCCGCTGGTCCTACACCACCCAACCCGCTCCAAGCTGGGATCAAACCGGCGACCTTCCACATAGGAGTCGGTTGCTCTACCAAGGAGGCTAAAAACCATGGCTTCGAGCATCTGTCGCTAGAGCACCTTAAGAGGTCAGAGGAGTGAGGTTTACCTGCACAGCACTTCACTAGCTGGCCTCCGTTACTCTCACGTCCCTAAACCTCACTCCCATCCGGGTCACGGCACCAATATAACCTAGCTGGCCTCTGCTACATAGAGTTTTCAACTGAGATCAGCGTCCCATAATGCAATTCACAACCATAAATGAACGAACAGCACTTGTGAATCACAAAATACAGAAACCGATTTTTTTTTTTTTTTTTGCAGTGTACATTAACACTTGGTCTTCGAAGAACTATATTAATATGATGTAAAATCCCTTATGAAAAGACTTGTTCAATAGTGTAGAGACAATGTCAGCTGACACCAAGTAGCTCAAA